GGGAATAGTCACGGATTGTACTGTAATAGAGACTTAAGTTGGTTTTGAATTTAATAACAGCTGCCAGGTTACTGGTGGCACAGTACTGGAAGAAGGAAGATCCACCTACCATTGAGGAATGGACATTAAAAGTTGTGCATCTGGCTGAGATGGCAAAAATTTCATCATATCTTAAAGATCATTCAAATGAAAGATACATATCAGAATGGAGAAGATGGATTGACTATATGCAAAAAAAGTACCCGAACAAGAAGATTCATATAGTTTATGAATGAAATATTTTTAAGTAGTTTATGTTTATAGTTTTTGAGCTATAAGGAGTTAAAGACCTAGGGAGAATATGAATGCAATAATTTGTTAGCATATTTTAGCTTTATGTTTGTGAATGCTATACCCTGTGCCTGTTCTGGGAAGTCTAGGGAGGGGGGTTGGGGGAAGGGGGGAGGGGGAAAGGGTGGGGGGGGGAATGTTTGTATTTCTTATAAAACTTTTCAATAAAAAAAAACGGGGAAGAATTTCTTTAAGGATTTCAATAAATTAATAGCAGATTACATCTGGCAAGGGAAGAAAGCAAGAATTAAAATAAAGCACCTACAGGATACAAGAGAAAGAGGAGGACTGGCACTACCGGACTGGGAAACATATTATAAAGCATCAGCACTAATCTGGATTAAGGAATGGATGGAACTCAAAAATAAAAGATTACTGAATTTGGAAGGATTTGATTTACAATGAGGATGGCATGCATTTCTATGGGAGGGCACCGACAAACGACATGAATACTTCCAGAGGCGTATTGTCAGACAGGCACTATATCAGACATGGCAGGGCATTAAAAAATTACACTACAATAAAATTCCGGAATGGTTATCAACCATGGAAGCTCAGATGCCATGGATATCACCAAAATGAAAACCTACAAAGATTTGCTAAATAATCAAGGGGAACTAAGAACGAGACAAGAATTGAAGGAGATGGGTACAGACATTGACTGGTGGCCATACCTACAAATAAAATCAAAGTATAAAAAAGATTTGGCTTAATTTGGATTCCAAAAAGGCCAATACGAATTAGATAAAATTTTACAAGGATCACAGGACAAATTGATTTTAAAAGTTTATAATTATTTACGAGGATATAAATTAGAAGAAGAGGTGGTTAAAGAAAACATGATAATTTGGGCAAAGAATTTTGGCTACAATATTGAATTAGACAATTGGGAAAAATTATGGACAATAAATTATAAATTAACAATGTCTGTACCCTATAAAGAAAATCTGTACAAAATGTTTTATAGGTGGCACCTCCCACTGGCCAGACTGGCAAGAATGTTCCCCAATACTCCTCCAACATGCTGGAAATGTAAACTTCACAAAGGTACCTGCCCAAAGACAAAACAATACTGGCAAACGATCAGAACACAAATAGAAGAAATTACACAACAAAGAATAGAAATGAGGCCAGAAACCTTTCTACTAGGCATAATAAATGGACAATATGAAAAGGAAATAAAATATTTAATCATTTATATAACAACAGCAGCACGAATAATTTTTTCACAAAATTGGAAGAGTAGTGACATACCAATAGAAGATAGAGTAATTAGTAAAATCATGGAATGTGCAGAAATGGACAGACTCACAAAGGAATTACGAAACAGAGGAACATGACTACTATCTAGTATGGGAAAAGTGGTACACATGGTTGGAAGATAGAAAAAGGAAAAAAGATTAGGAAGTAAGTGGAGTGACCTAATATAAAAAAAGGAACATACACTACTAATGCAGGTTAACAGTGAATTACAAAGATAGATATAAGAGAAAGACCAACAAGGAGGAGTCAAAAGCACAAATAAGAACAGACAGTACAGTTGCGACAAATTGGATAAGATGTATATTTGAATTCTTGTTTACATGTTTACATGTTTTGTATGTTTTGTTGTTATTTGTTTTGTTTTGTCTGTATTTTTAAATAAATAAATAAAAATTAAAAAAAGAAACAAGAATCAACAATGAGATTACTCAGATCTATATATTTTCAAGAAACTGCAGTTTCCAAATATGTAGACTAACTAACATATATGTTTGATACTATAATAGCTACTCCTGCATATTTAATAGTTATATTTACTTTTTTAAAAATTCTATTCCCCAAGTCTTTTTTTTAAAGAATGACTCTCTATTTATGCTCTTTAAACTGTCCTCTCAGATTGATGTTAATCTAACAAAATAGTCAGTAAGCCTTTTTTCTCTTAGTTTTTCCCTAAATAATTTTATTTGTGGTGATTCCATGTCCTTATCTTATGGAATTTACAGGAAGATATTTCAAGTCTATTGGATTACATGGTCTAATTATGTACTAAGCAGCTCTAAAAGAGAATTTAAATTTCATAAATCTCAGTGTTTATCTACTAGGTGGTAGAAATTTATTTTATTATGAAAGATAGGTGAATAAAATCAATATTATGTGCCATCAAGCCAGCATCAACTCTTAGTGATGACATAAATACTATACTTTTCTCCAAAAATACATATTTTCTCCAGGAGCTTCAATATTAGTTTAGTACAGGTAGTCCTTGATTTATGACAACTGAGCCCAAAAATTCTGTTGCTATGTGAGGCAGTTGGTGAGTGAGTTTTGTCCCATTTTATGACCTTCCTTGCCACCGTTAAGTGAATCACTGCACTTAAGCAGTTATTAAGTTAGAATCTGATTTCCCCCTTGACTTTGCTTGTCAGAAGGTTGTAAAAGGATTAACATTACTGCAGAAAACTGCATAAATACAAGCCAGTCAGCAAGCATCCAAATTTGGAACACATGACTGGGGAATGGTGCAATGGTCGTGTGAAAAATGGTCATAAGACACTTTTTTTTAGTGTTGCTGCAACTTCAACTGGTCACTGAATGAATGACTGTAAGTCAAGGACTACCTGTATCTATCAATAAAAATTAACCTGACCACTGAAGAGTCCATAAAATTATTCTTAATTTTGACATAAATGCAAATTATTTAACTGTTATGTTTGTTTTAGAAGAAACGAAGGGACTTGATTTACATACGTACATACATTCATTCCCTAAGTCTCAGTGCAGGGATTCATTTCTAACTCTGTGATCATGATATTCAAAGGACAATGACCTCATGTCAGCTAATAAACAAAGTCAAGACCCAATGAGTTGAATGAGAATCACCTCCAGCTAAGTATGCCTAGAATTACAGCCATGTCACTAAAACGTGGGGATGTGGAGGAAGGACCAATACATTTTTTAAAAAAATGTTTGAAATTTCTCTGCACAGAAGTATTTTAGAAGATTTAGTGGTGGCAATAGAATGATAAAAATTAATTGTTCACAAAAGATGGACACTATAAGTACACAGTAATGCAACAAGACTCATGTGGACAATGGGACTTGCTTTTGAGTAAATAAAATAGATCCATAATTAATTTACTAGGATAGTCTCCTTGTAATCTAAATTTAAGCTAATCATGATTCCTTTAGGCCGGGGGTATCAAACTTGTGTAGTCACTTTGTCGTCACGTGACGTATCATGACTTTTTCTCCTTTCGCTAAAACAGGGGTGGGCGTTACGCATCTGTCCCACAGGCCACGTGTTTGACACCTCTGCTTTAGGCCCATTGATTTCAGTTATTCTTGTCATTTTGTACATAAGCCAAGATCAAACCTTTTACTGTAGTACTATAACAATTGATTATCTAGTTACAGGAAAAATTATTTTGCACACAATAAAATGAGTCTAAATTAATCTGTATAGTTTATTGATTTTCTTTAAAGACCCAATTAGAACAATTAAAATTGCATCTTAAAATTCCATGAATAGATTTTATCTGTTTTTGGGTTTACTAATTCTCCAGTCTTGTTCCTTCCCTATTCATGAGAATAGTTTGTCATATATTCTTTCTTCTCTCTTAAGTCTGAATGTCAATTCTGATTACTTCGAAAGGTACTCATTTCAGTTCTATTTTCTTTTTCACACCTTTTCTTTTTGACAAAGATTATTGTTTGCCTAAAGCCAGTTCTCAAGAGTTTGCAATACTGCAATTTCCTAAAATGATGAAAATGAATCGGTGGAACCCTGATACTTACAGATCAATGCTACTGTGATTTTCAAACTGAGCCCAAGTAGCTTCCACATCCAAATAGTCTTGAGCCCTCCTGAGGGCAGTTCCAGCTTCTTTAATCAGGTGTGTCCTTAGCAGCCCTATTGGGCCTGAGTGGGATCAGAATTGTGAGAATTCAGGGAATAAATGGTAGGGTCAGTTGCTGACTCAGAATCATGGCTAGCAACACAGGGACTGCTTTCTAGACTATTTCCTTCTCCTTATGAAGGCTTTTGAAACCTTGAAACCTTTTAAAACCAAGATAGTGATTTGGGGCCACCTAGAGTGGAATACTAACATAATATGTTAGAATTCATTAATATGCAAAACAATAATGTCTTGAACATTCATCTAAAGCAACCTTAGAACACCCCACTTCACTTACTGGATGCCCTCAAGACCTTGTCAGCGCAGCTGCCAGATCTCCCATCAGCGATCTTGAAAGGAAATCTTGAAGCTGGGTCCCAAAAACCAGAGGCGAGAGAATCAGACTGGCCCAACACTTTGTTTCTCGGCTCATCGTGGAAACAATTTGGCTGCGGGTCTCCGGTTGGGTTCTAAAAACCTGGAAAGAACCTGGAAAGCAAAGATCTCCGTTCAAAGGAACACAAAAGTCCAGGTATGTATGTGGCTTCTTCTATTCTCGTTTACCAGAACCAGCGAGCCAGAACTTAACTGAAAGTTATTCCGGTGACCGCGCAGCATCGGGTGAGTTTAGACGACTGAAAACGGAGCTCCGAAATCGAAGCGAGAGACTCGGAGGGGAAGCGCGGCCAGGATTTATATGCCTAGGGTTGCCGTAGCTCCAGGTGCAGGAGCGCGGGGGCGCGGCCCTTGGTTCTCCCGCTACCATGGCAATGGCTTTTATCCCTCAGCAGGGACAGGATGAACACCGCGGATGGCGGCTCCGCAGAGCGTCACCTCGCGCCGTCTGGCTGGGTCGGACCAGAAGGACGCGCGGGTGCCCCCTTCCCTGGCCAGCAGCCATAGCGGGCAGATCTCCTTCACTAGTTCCCCATCGCCAGCCAGAGAAGGGAATTCCACCATTCCCCCCATGTTCATGACGGCGGTCGCGCAGATTCAAGCGCGATCGCAGGCGCTCTTGCGAGCCGCTATAGCCAGCGAGCGAGCTAAGCTCTGGCCTAAGGTAACAGGCGCCCCATCTGGGCTTGCGGAGCGGCCCGCGTGGCGGGCGAATTCTGAATGGATTTCCACCCCGGGCGTAATTGCACCGCCTTAGGCGGTAATGAGGCTGGTTGTTGATGCCCGCAGACCTGCCTTCGTTGCAAATTCCAAAACTGCAAACTAGCTTGGCCTTTGGAGAGTTGCGGTTCAAAACAAGTTTGAAAAACTGCTTCCGCGGAGGGTAACTTCAAACGAGCAAACGAGCGAGGCACTGGCTTTTACTTCAAACTGTTTTTTTCCTCTATCCAGAGCAGAAGTGTCTCTGCTTTTAAGGGTTTTGTGACTCTTGAGTGAAGTTTCGTTTTCCTTAGATGTCACTATCCTGGTGGAGAACCTGTGCACCATACAGACAGACATAAAGTCTTGAGGAAGAGTAGAAATGGAAATCCTGATTCCAAGCAATTAGCCACTCTGTTTTGGTGTGGGGTTTGTTTTCTGTTCCCTAGATAAATAACCAGGACTTTCTTAAAATGCTAGTATGCAAATACATGGAATTCTGAATTACTTTTACGTTTCAGAATTCTTCCTTTTATGTCTTTGGCATTGACATTTCTTTTTAGTTTCTGCCTCTTTGGTTTTTTTTAAAATAAACTATTGCTTGTATAGTGAATATTTGACTATATTCTGCTTACATGCTAAACTAAAGTCCCGTCCCTTCTGGGTTATTTATATAATATGCTATACAAAGCATATTATGACTTCACGTATTATGGCTTGATACACACAGCATTCCAAGGAGTGGTGGACTTGGTTCTATAGTTAGCAAATCATAATGTTTATGAGATCACAGAAAACATGTATTTGCAGAAAGTGGGGGAGGGGCAGGGACTGATTTGTCTACTGTTGTTTTTCTTGAGTTGAAGTAAAAAAAAATTACTTCTTGCCATATTGTGAAGGACTAGATTTGGGAATGGAAGAGAGAATGGGTGAACTATTAGGTGATTTTCGGAATCAATTACTTAGTCCCAAAGAAAAGGGAAAGAGTGAGAAAAAGTCAAAATAGCCTTGTTTGATTTAGGATGGGATAGAGAGAAACTTGGACAGGCTTTTAATATTGTTGCTGGCACTCTAAGGTAGGCATGGCAGCAATTCCAGATATGCTTTTTATTTATTTATTATTACAATGTTTTTAAACAATTTTTCAATGTTCGCATTATTTTTGTTGTAAGCCGCCCAGAGTCCCTCGGGAGTTGGGCGGCATAGAAATGCGATAAATTAAATTAAATTAAATTAAATATTGCAGGATAGAATAACAAAATCTTGACCATCTGTTCCAGTTCATATTTATGCCTTACCTTACACTGAACAGAATCAGGTTGAGCTTAGTTTGAATTTCTTTCTCACACTTTTCTCTTTCTCAGGATTGACTAATCTTTTCTGAATCCCTGCTTTTATATATATATATTAGTCTGCTGAGCCACCATTCCTTACCCATTCCCAAGGCCAGGTCTACATTCCTTCACAAATACAGAGATTCTTAAATTTGGTCTCAGTTCTCATACTTTTTTTTTAAAAAAATTGTTTTCAGGCAATAGAGTATTATAGAAGACTGCTAAGCTGCTTGAGTCAAAGGAATTTTCCTATACAATATGTTCCTGGTCCTACCTGTAAATTGTTGGTAATTGAAATCTGAAAAATTTCTATATAGAATATTAACTTGAAATCCTTGCTGATTTGGTTATGAAGTGTCAATGGAAGCCGTCTAACTTTAGACACTAAATTTAGATACTGTACTTAGACTCAAGACAAACTCACCGTTCCTTTCTTTTAACTCCTTGTACAGGTAGTCCTCGAACTTAAAACAGTTCATTTAGTTACAACAGGATTGAAAAAAGTGACTTATGACCATTTTTCAGAGTTATGACCGTTGCAGCATCCCCATGGTCATGTGATCAAAATTCAGATGCTTGGGAACTGACTCATATTTATGACTGTTGCAGTGTCTTGGGGTCACATGATCACCTTCTGTGATCTTCTGACAAGCAAACTCAATGGGGAAGCCAGATTCACTTAACAACCATGTTACTAACTTAACAACTTAAATGATTCATTTAACTGTGGCAAGAAAAGTCATAAAATAGGGCAAAACTCACTTAATAAATGTTTCGCTTAACAGAAATGTTGGGTTCAATTGTGATCGTAACTTGAGGACTACCTGTATTCCGCTTCCTTGTGCAAATGTTCTCTCTCTCTCTCTCTCTCTCTCTCTCTCTCTCTCTTTTTCTTAGATTAGACATGCAGTGTAGGAAGTTGCATTCTAACACACGGGTGTCAAACTGGATTTCTTAGAGGGCTGGATCAGCATTGTAGTTCTCCTCTGCGGGCCGGCGGAGGGGACAGGGGACAACAATAGATGCCTCCTACAACACCCTGCTGGCCAAAATGGGGCATGGGGGGCTGCAAGCACCCCCCTCCCTGCACCTTGTTTTCGCCCTCCATGGCCTCCTGCAGCACTCTGCCGGCCAAAAACGAGCCACATGGCCTGTTTTTGGCCTGTTTTCAGCCTGTTTTCCATCCCATTTTCAGCCAGCAGTGTGCTGCAGGAGGCCATGGAGGGTGAAAACGAGGCGCAGGGTTGCCACACGCGGCCTGTTTTAGCCACCACAGGAACTGTGGGCCAGTCCTTTGATATTTCCAGGTCAGCCCTGTGGGTCGGATTTAAGTACCCCGTGGGCCAGATCCAGACTGCGGACCTTGAGTTTGACACCCCTGTTCTAACACATTGGTTCCATTATGTGCACCTGCCTCCAACAGACTTTTATTTATCTTCTGATATTGTATAGTCTGTAACAAGGACTACATTTCAGAGTGGAAGAAGTGGTGGTCTTTAAGGTGCAACAAAATTCTGTCAGTTTTATTCCAACAGACAGATTTAATTTTCCATAATTTCGAATGGGGTTTAATCCACAAAATGTACACTGTGATATACCTGTTAATTCTTAAACCATGGATATTTTAAATGCTTTTTAAATCCCTGCAGAAAATGCTATTCTTTTTTACTTTAAATTTTTATTGAAAGGGGTTCTACCTCAGCTCCATTCCTATAAAGGATGAATTGTACTCTTGGTCTCATCCCTGGTTTATTATGTAATCCATTTATAATCTGGCCTATTACCTAGACATTTATAAATCAGTGTAGTTGTCTGGAGAGTTTCCTTGCACAACTGCTGAACATGGTATCGGGGAGTTCATATATTTCTGACCCATCTGTTCAAGAGGTCTGTCTTTCTAGAAGAAGATCAGAAGGTAACATGGAAAATTATTAATCCTAACCAAATGCAATGGAATTATAAGCAAGTTTTGGAACTTTCTAAATTGTTTGTTACAAAGGATGCTAAAGAAAATCAGATAATCAGATAAAGAAAGAACATGTTAGCATAGATTGTGCACTAACAATACTGTTACGAGAATAAGAAGGTTAAGGAAATAAAATTGGATTTCCCTCATAAACTGCAAAATTGCAGCACCCAAGGTTACTGTATTGAATACAGGCTGTTCAGTACCCTGTTCCTTGAGAATACTGTATTTGGTTCATTATTTGTTTTTTTAAAAAATGCAATTAGAATCCATATTATTCAATATTAGAATATTGATTCTAGTGTTCACTGTATTTTTAGAACATGTGTGGAAATTTCATCATTAATAATGGGAGGTAATCACAGTTTTAATGTTTGAAATTTAGAACCTGTTAAAATAAAGTTGGAAAGAGTTATTAAGTAATTTGATACCCTAATTCTTTCGTTCCAGGTGTTTGAAACATATTATCATATAGGTGTAGCTTTCCAAAGTATGCATAACCATCAAGAAGCTTTGGAAGAGTTTTCTTTTGCATTAGAAACTGCACATATTCCCAAGGTATGGAATTAAAATTTATGCCTGTGTGCACAGTGCATTAAAATACAATTTTGTCAAATGGAGAAATAGTCATGTTGCATTCATGATCTGTAATGGTAAATTGAATGCCTATATTTTGGAATCTGTTGAATCAAAGGACCATGCAATTAGAAATGCTGCTCTTCATAAATTTGAATTTATTATTTTACATTGATCTTCAAATGGTTGACATAAAGGGTTAGTGCAATAATTGCTACATGGGTTGAGTATATCTATCAAAATGAATTTTTCCTAAATTGATGCCTTCTAGATATGGGCTAAAACAAGAATTTTAACAATATTTCTAGAGGGCTTCCTTTGAGAAAATGTTGACGTAAGTAGATAGTTAGCGAATGATAACTTCTTAGAGATCTTTTAAATTAGTGACTGCATGTGACGCCTAAATATATGCTCCCCCAAAAATAAGCCCTAGTGAAGGGGTGGGCGTGGCCAGCACAGGAGGCAGCCCTTCCCTTCCCTGGTCACCTCATGGAGGTTCAGCTCCTTAATTGCTGCCCGCTGATCAGCTGAGCCAGTGAGGTCTGTGCAACTCGGCCCAGATCTCCAGAGCACCTCCACAGCTGCTGGCCTCCTCCCCCTTTTCCTACCGATCGTTCTTTACTTGGGATCGCAGCACAGACACACATCCCAAAATGCTCCAGCCGAAGCCTTTAGCCTTGCAATCCTGGGAGGGGCATTTGTGCTGCAATCCCGAAGAACAGTGTGTGTGTGTGTGTGACAGAGAGAGAAAGAAAAAGAGAGAGAGAGAGATCCGATCCAACCTCGGAGAGTTATCCAGGGCTGGTACCAATGTTCTCTTTGTCCCCCCCTCTTCTCTCACACACACAGGTCCCTCACCCCCACCCCCTGACAACCCTTCCAAGGCAGCCATATTCCTTCAGTAACCTTCTTTTCAGCTCCGTTCTCCACCATCACATGCAGGGCAAGAAAAGTAGTCTGTGGGACTATGGTAAAAAAAACCTTCCAACATCGCGAGATTTTTTTTTTATATGAGAATTTGAAAGGTCTGAACTACTGGTATTATTTTTTACCATAGACTACTTTACTTGTCCTGAACGTGCAGCGGAGAACAGAGCTGGAAAGCAGGTTAGTGAAGGGATATGGGGGCTGAGGGTTTGGACGGCCCTGGAGAGGGGGGGGTGGCATGGGTGGCCTGGCTGAAGGGCCTCCGTGTAAGCCGGTGTGGGGCCTTGGGGCAGTGAACCAGATGGTGATCAGGCTCTTACCCGATCCGATCTCAGCCACCTCCACGCAGCTCTCGCTCACCATCTCCAGCTCCTCCAGCGTGTTCAGCTTCTTGGGGTCACGGATGGTGCGGATGAAATCTGCGCAGGGCAAAGAGAGGTGCGCGTACTGAGCAAGGCCAAACTCCTGTGGGCCCCCCTGCCTCTTCCGCCACCCCCGGCACCGACCGTAGTCCTCGAGCGTTTGCTCCTGTTCCTGTGCCATGGCAGAGGCCCGCCCGCAGGGCAGCCACTGGTGGCAGACAGGCCTCCATGCGCAGTGGGCAGAAGTTGGCGCACATGCTTCTGGTGGAGATGGGTGGTGGCTGCCCGGTAGGGTCTGGGGCCGGAAGTTGCAGAGGACTACAATGTTCAGCAGGCCTGGTGCATCTCACAGCTGGGCGTGGGTCTCTCGGGGATGGCTGAGGTGCTGTGGGTGTTGCTTCTGCTGGAGGCCCCAGCCGGCTCCCTACAGACCAATCTCAGCCATGGGCAGGGAGCACTAGCCGTGGCTGGGCCAGCTAAGCTGTGTCTGTCGGGGCTGCCCTCAGCACGCCTGCCCGGTATCTTCCTGCTAGCCGTCTGGGAAGAGTAAGCGGGGCTTGTGGGAGGAAGGGAGGGTAGGCAAGGGTCCCACAAAGCTCCACTCCTGAGGAAGAATCCAGCCCAGTCGCTGTCCTGTCCGGTGACTCCCGAGGCGGAGGGGCTTCCCGGGCTCACCAGCAGGCGCTCCTCAAGAACTTGGTGCTCATTGGCTTCGCCCACATCGACGGGAAGCCTAGGAGGCATGCAAGCGGGGGGGGACAGGCGTTCTCATGGTTTGGCGCCTTTGGGGCACTCGCGTTCCATCCCCTCCGTGGGAGAGGTGAGGCTTGATCGCGGCACGGAGGGAGTCTCTCTCTGCCGGACTCCCGGCTGTGAGTGCGCAGGCCGCCCAGGGCCTCCTGCACCCCTGAAATAATAAGACACCTCCCCCCCAAAAATAAGGCCAAGCTCTTATTTCAGGGTTCAAAAAATATAAGACAGGGTCTTATTTTCGGGAAAACACGATAGCATGTTAATGAAAAATACTCTTGGAAAATTGGAAAAAGCCAATTATTCATCCTCTAAAGTCATGATGGTGAACCTATGGCACGTATGCCTGAGGTGGCACGCAGCACCCTCTCTGTGGGTACGCAAACCGTCACCCCAGCTCAACCGTCACGGCCAGCTAGTCTTCGGGTCTTTGCCATGCATGCGTAGGGGTTGCGGGGTGCACGGGGCGCGCGCATGCAAGGGGATGGGGCGCATGTGGGGGGAAGCGGGGAGTGCACGTGCATGCGGGGGCACACATGGGACATGTGCAGGGGCAGGCTGCATGTGGGGGTCAAACGCATGCGCGGGGTGGGCTGCATGTGCGTGGGCCATGCACACATTGCATTTTGGGGGTTCAGGTGCTCATTCAAACGCATGCACGCTTTGGGCACTTGGTCCGGAAAAGGTTAGCCATCACTGCTCTATAGGCATGGGGCTGAAATCTACCCTGTTGCTACTCTAAAAGGGGTAAAACCAGTGCTTGAACGTACAGCATTATTAAACGCAACTTCAGCAAAAGGCAAAAGTTCGGTCCAGTTATCCTGTTGAAAATTAATGAAACATTTTAAATATTGTTCTAGCACCAAGTTCAAAATTTCAGAATTACCATTAGTACAAGGATGAAAGGATGTGCTCAACCTCTGGCCAGTACCAAGTAAGCCCAAAAACGCCCTCCAAAAGTTGGAGGTGAATTGAGCCCCTCTGTCGGAGATGATCCTTTGTGAAGGATCATGAAGTCGATAAATGTGTATTAGGAATAATTTGGCTAAACTTTTAGCAGTTGGGATCTTTTGGCAGGGTATAAAATGTGCCTGTTTTGAAAATAGGTCTGTCACAACCCAAATAACAGTATTTCCCTCACTGGCAATTCCACAATGAAATCCATAGCGATCTCTCTCCAAGGCGCTGAAGGTTCAGCTACCTTCTGCAATAGACCGGGGGATTTTCCCTGGCGTCTTTTTGCTGCTGTACAAATGGGGCAGCTAGCTACATAGCTTTCTATGTCCTTTTTTAGTGATGGCCACCAAAATTGTCTTTTAATCAGGTGTAAAGTTTTCACAAACCCAAAATGTCCAGCTAATTTGGAGTCATGGCACCGTACCATTAAGCATAGTCTTTGGCTTGCAGGGACATACAACTTCCCCCCCACCCAAGCCAAGTCTTCTTTCATCAGATAGCTGGATTTGTTGTTCAAAAACCATTCATCAGTGGCCAATGCTTGTTTAAAAGTTTGGATGGTGTCATTGTCCGTCAATGTTTCTTGTTTTGCCTGGGATCTGGTGACTACTTTAGCGGCTAGTTGATTGTTTTGTACTATAGGTTTGATTACATCTGACTTTGCACTATTGTATTGCGGTTTTCTGGATAGCGCATCCGCCAGAAAGTCCCCCCCCCCCGGGAGGTATTTTAGAGTAAAATCAAACTGTTTAAAGTACTGAGCCCATCGTACTTGTTTTGGGGAGAGTTTGCTTGGGGTCTTTAGGGCTTCTAGATTTTTATGATCAGTCCAGACTTTAAAAGGGGTCTTACTGCCTTCTAGGAAGTGCTGTGAGGTTAACAATGCCCAACGAACTGCATAAGCCTCTTTCTCCCAAATAGCCCACCTTTGCTCAGTCTCATTCAACTTTTTGGATGTGTAAGCACAGGGTTGTAGTTGGTCTTGCTCATTCTTCTGAAGTAGAACCGCTCCTATTGTCACATCGCTGGCATCTGCTTGTATGACAAATGATTTCTCCGTGTCTGGGTGTTTTAGAATTGGTTCTGCTGAGAACAGCCGTTTAAGTTTTTCAAAAGCCGCCTGGCATTCCATTGTCCAGTTCAATGGCTGCTTCGGTTTAGGGTTGTCCTCCCCCTTTGTTTTTAAGAGCTTGGTGATGGGGAGGGCAATCTGAGCGAACGCAGGGATAAACTGGCGGTAAAAGTTGGCAAACCCAAGGAAGCTCTGTAACTGTTTACGTGTGCGTGGAGGGTCCCAATCAAGTACAGCCTGCACTTTTAGAGGATCCATCTCAACCCCTGGTGCGAAATGCGGTATCCCAAATAGTCAATCTTCTCTTGGTGGAATTCACATTTGGAAAGTTTGGCATAAAGTTTGGCAGCGTGGAGTTTGTTTAAAACTGCCCTGACTAGTTTTACATGTTCTGCTTTGGTCTCGGTATAAATTAAAATGTCGTCCAAATAGGCCAGAACCCCCTTATATAAATGCTGATGCAGCACTTCATTTATTAACTGCATAAACACTGCAGGAGCTCTTTGCAACCCAAAGGGGAGCATCTTGAATTGGTAGCAGCCGAGGGGGGTGTTAAATGCTGTTTTCCACTCATCCCCTTCCTTAATTCTGACACGGTAGTAAGCCTCCCTTAAGTCCAGCTTTGAAAAAAAATTTCCCTTTAGCGAGGTGTGCTAACATATCTTTCATAATGGGGAGAGGATACATGTTCTGCACACTGACCGCATTAAGGATATGAAAATCAACACATAGGCATTTTGAGCTATCCTTTTTCTCTCTAAACAGCACAGGAGCTGCAATTTTTGGTCAGGCTGGCTCGATGAAACCCCTTGCTAGGTTTTTCTCAATGAATGTTCTCAGCTCTTCCAACTCCCTCGGTGACATGCTGTACATCTTGGGTTTAGGGAGTTTCGCGCCGGGTAAGATTTCTATTG